AAGGGTAATCAAATAAGTAGATATTTTCTAATTTTTTAAAGGGACCTAGATTTGTCAGAGAAGGGAAATTATGGAAACCTTCTTATCCAATGATTTTAAAACAGTTTACAAACAAGTCTTTTCAAACAAAAAAAAAATTACAGTAGGCTCCAACATACATAAAATAAATGAGTAGCAAATAGCTAGTGTATGGTTATAGTATAAAATTCAAATTTATTACTTTTATCCATTATGAAGTAAAGTGATAAGGATGAAGCTACTTCAGTGATCCTCAGAATCAGAAATTCTGACAAGTGACAACACTCTGACTGGCTTGCACTTTAATGTTTTATTATTATTATTATTATTATTATCATTATTATTATATGATATGGTAAGAATCTGCACAGAAAATTATTGAAGCCTGTAGTTGTCTTTAAATAATTAAGAAGTTTTAAGCAACTTCAATCCCCTTCAATTAAGTAAGATAGCAGAGGAAGTTTTACTCTAAAGTGCTAGCACAAATTACTGAATACATGACCGCTTATATTTTGACCTTGCATAGACAACGTGTGCACCTGAGATTACATGGAAGCAAGATTATTTAAATAGGCAAAGTATTTGAAGAAAAATTTAATTTACATTTTAAAGATGCCTTGAAGTTCTGCAGAAAACAGATTTCCACAGAACAGTTTGAAAATAACTGATCTGACTCAAACAACTTTATAGATTCCAAGACCAAGAAGTGGACTTGACCTCCCTACAGTCGTTTAGCTGTGACCAAGGGACCACAGTCCCCAATCCCCACTTCATTGCTTCCCACTTGAATGTCTCACTAACGAAACAAATTTTTAGCAAAACTTCAATCCTTATGATGAAACACAATAAATTTCTTATGAATAGGGGAAGAAAGATGTTTGGGAAGAAAGGGATAAAGTTAGCTCCTAAGTTATCTCCTTTTTTAGACAATTTAAGCATATATCTTATTACTACTGATTTTATTTATCTGCATAAATGTACTTACAAGATTTAGGTAGTTTTAAGTTTTAATATTTATAGTTCATCATCTGCTGTTTTATGACAGATGTAAAAGTTGTAAGACCCTCATTTTCTCCCATGTTCTCAAATTCCCATAAGGATGCAATCACTAATCCAGATGCCCTGACCAAAAAGCACACTGTCAGACTTCAGAAGCCATGAGTCAGTTCCCATTCCAGGGCTGCTAAGAGACAGAGGCAACTTTGATGCTCTCATTTCCCTTCTTGCATAATACGTGCATGAAGAAGTATTCCTCCCCTCTCCCCCATCATATTTTCGGCAGGTTTCAACATCACCTGATGACAAATTGACTCTGCACAGATGTCTCTACAGTAAAAAAGAGCCTCGGAGACACTCTGACTTCTGCACTTCACTTTCTTCTCCCAAAATCCACTCCACCGGGGAGAAACTATGTCTAGCAAGCTGATTTCTTTTTTATATATTGATTTTGATTTTATTTTTACCAATTCTTCCATTACAAATACCTTCTTCACAATTTGCAAACAGTATGCAATTTTTGTCAATTCATTTCCAATTTTCTTTCCTTCTTGGCACATTCCCCAGGAGACCATTTTGACAATAAACATATGGACTCTCCAAAGGTGGAAAATGGGAAGGCCAGGATTTAAAGATTACAAGATAACATTTTTTTCCTATCTGCCAAGTGTATTTATGAAAATTATTTTGCTCTCATTGAAGCAATGTGTGGAGCTTAAGTTCTTCACTGCTGTTCTCATACCTCTTTTATCTCTGGGATCAAGAGGCCCTGGATGCTAATAAATTATGACTCAATAAACTACAGAAAATTCAGCTTCTCAGAGGATTTGCAAAATGTCTCCTTGCATGGCATTTGGTGGTTAACAATGTTTCCCATTTGGCATTACATGATCATATTCTCTAGGCTTTGCTATATTTGTCTTCAATGCAGCCCAGTTTATAATAATTAATATTTAAATTCACTTCAAAATTAAAGAAACTGAATCCACATAAAGCATCATTAGCAATCATAGAAATAAGTAACATAAGTAACATAAATAAGTAACTATCTCTTCGATCCCTGTGATTTGTCCTTTTACATTTTAAAATCTCAGTGAGGTCATAGTTATTATGAGTCATCATTTTATTACTTTTCTGGTGCTGGTGAATACAGAGATATCTTCAACCTTAAAAGCACCAGAATTGTTTCACTGTCTGGGTTAACTTCCTCTCTGTGGGGGAAGCCCAGCTGGTACAATGTGCCCCACGGAATTAGGGCTTCTCTCCCTCAGCAGAATCTGTGGGTGCTACACAATGGCATTTGGCTGCTTCTTGGAATCTTTTGGTTCACCTGACAAAATTATAAATTTCTCTGTTCATGTCAGCAGGACAGCTACTAAAATCAGGATAATACAGTGATGACGAACTTGACCCTTGTACAGGGATGACACATCCATTTTTGAAGCATTCTGTACTTTTGAAAATTACCAGATGATTTCACTCATATATGAATTATAAAGAGACAAAGCACATGAATTAACAGAACTCAAAAATAACTCTGTACTCTGACAACAAAATGGCTGCCACCAGAGGGCAGAGGAAGAGGCAGGAAGAACACATGAAGGGGTCAATTGGAAGGTAGTGAATGGTACTAGTCTGTGGTGGTGGGTGGAGTGTGATCCAAACATTCATCAAATTGTAAAGCTAGACTCCTAAAACTTATGTTTCAGTTTCATTAGGTTGTGAAGTGAAATCAACACATCATCAATCAAATGATTGTCAGAACGACTTTCTCAAATATGAGCAGGAAAGTCAGGTTGAGAAATTTGACCCTCCCTGACCTGATTAAAGTGCACTTTGAAAAGAGCACACAACTAGTATGTATGCATGTGTTGTCCTGAGTCTCCAGCATTTGTTGGTGATAATAAATATTTCAGTCCTCTCATAGGAAAGACAATGAAAAAAAGTCACTTTTTTTTTCTTTCCTAGAACACAGACAGCTAACAAACCATGATGGCAAGTTCGTAGGCAAACAACTTTTAAAGAACTTACCGGCAGATGCAAGAGGCTAGTAATTTAATTCTCTTATTTGGCAAGAGAAAAAATTGAAAAGAAGTTTATTAATAGCATACTTGTATACTTGGGAGACACCCAGTAGAACTGAGTAATTCACCAAAATGGCATAAGTCACCTCCTTATATAATACTGATTGAAAAAATATGTTTATATATCTTTTCTACGTAGGATGTATTTTTCAGACTTATGATGACATTCTGTGATGACTCTAGGCCAAGATTTTTCAAGCTCAGCAAGGAAATTCTTTGTTGTGGGGTCTGTCCTGTGAGTTGTAATATGTTGAACAGCATGCCCACCTCTACCACTAGATGCCAGTAGCACACCCCTAGTGGTCACAACCAGAATGTGTCCAGACATTGCCAATCCTGGACGACAAAACGTTTCCAGATGAGAAGCATACATAGGAAGATTATGTATGTTCTCTGGAGATCGAGGATTTTGTAACATAAGATGCAAGTATAAGGTGGCATTTATAGCAGTGGAACCAGAAAAGACTACATGATAAGTGATACTAATTAATTAGCTAAATAACTACTTTAAAAAAAAATCCAGAATTAATACCTACTCATTCTGGGGGAAAAAAATTCACATGATCTTTTGTTCCAAATAAAAAAATCATAAAATTACTGAAAAATATAGATTATATTTTTATAACTTGTGGTAAAGAAAATCTATTTAGAAAACAGAAAATCCAGAAGGCAAAAATGCAGCCCTAAAAAGAGTTAATTTCACAATATTTTAATATTTTATATGAAAAAATAACAACTGAAAAAGACATCATGATCAAAATTTTTAAGGTAAAGATATAATATTTGGAATGTGTCTAACAAACTGAAAATCAATATCATAGAAATTAAAAAGCCTGACAAATCATTTTAAAAAGCACAGAGCAAACAGGTTAGTAATTCAAAAAAGCAGTTCATAAAAGTAAATCAAATAGCCAAAATAAAAAAAATTCAGCTTCATCATTACAGAAAAAGGCAAACTAAAACTTCAATAAGATAACATCTTGATTGTATCAGATTTGCAAAATTTAGAGGAATTGACCCTGAAAGAGTGGCAAAAATTATAGAACCGATGAAGAAAGTTGTGAACACATAATTATGCTGTGAGCACATAATTATGATAACTTACATAGGTTCAATCTTTTGGGAGCACATCTATAAATTTATTTCATAAAAATAATTCTCATATATGCACATAATACCTATGTATGTATACACATATATGTATTTACACACAGACCATTGTTGTGATTTATTTATAATAACTAAACTTTGCAAGCAAGTGAAAAGCCATCAGGAAGAAATGACTGGTACATCATCATTTCTTGAAATAACAGTGTGGTATTATGCAGAAATTCAATACAATGTGACAAAGTTTCAGAAATGTATGTAATACATTCCAATTAAATAAATGTATTCACATAAAGTTACATGCTTGTGTATATATAATTACGTGTATATGTAAATGTGTATATATATGTGTGTGTGTGTGTATATATATATATATATATATATAAATATATATTATATAAAGTGTCTAAAGGGATACACATCAAGCTATTAATGGGAAGTAACTCCAGGAAGAAAAGTAAGATGTCCATCTCATTCTATGCGCTCTACAGTATTTGAATTCTACAGTATTTGAAGTTTTACCACCAGTATGTATTCTGCATGTTATATAATTTTAAATAAAAGTGAGGAAGTTGAACTAAGGGATCTCAGAAGTCCAATTTCAGGTCTAACAAATTATGATAGTGAATCCCAGTTTAGAAATAAATATGAAAACTGAAGCCACTGATTTTGTGTCCATATCATAGACTCCTTTGAGGAAGAAAAAAAGGGGGGGGAAGAAATGACTTTCCCATGGCATCCACTATGTGTTCGCTCCACTTGTACACATTTTCCTTTTCATCCTGACAGCATCTTATTCCAAGTGGGGCCCTGAGGAGTAAGTGCTTCCACAAAGATCACAACATCTGGAAGGGATGGAGTCTGGATTCAGTGAGTCAGGTCTGCAGGGGATATGATTGCTGTTCTCTAAACAGGGTTGTCCTCGTTGACTGAGAAACTGGTTTGTCTGATAAACATTAGGTCAGAGAGCAAGAGGCTGTGATGGAGGAATGACTGTCCGGCAGTCTGACAACCTGGAGCTGCACGAAGTAATACTGCTGAGATGTGGTCCATGCTCACTTAGCACTGGCTGTTGATTTGTTTCTCAGTGAACCTTCAAGGCAGCCTGAGAAGGAAGGTGTCATTACTGTTCACCATTTGCAAGGGGGGACATTGAGTTTCTATAAGAAAGTAGTTTGCCGGAAGTTATGTACATAGTCACATATCACATAACCATGGTTTTGGACAACAGCAAACTGCATGCAATAAGTTGTTACACAGCCTAGGTGTGTAGTAGGCTATTCCAGCTGGGTTTTCCGTGAACACACTCTAGCACAGCTGCAAAACAAGGAAAACACTTGCTGAAGCATTTCTCAGAATATATCCCCATGGTCTAGCAATGCATGACAATATAGGAAATAATCAAGCTGTCTGTACAATTCCCAGTCTATCTTCTTAATTACTACATATGTTAAGTAGAGCAAAAATTATTTACTCCTGGCTAGACACTGGAAAGGAAAAGCTGGAAACAGTAAGATGATGATTAAGCAATTGCTAGCCCAATACTAGCTGTCAGAGCTAAGTTTGCTTGCTCATGTGTAATATGGCCTGGGACATTTCAGTACTGGAGTGCAGTCTACGAAACCATCATGTCTCCAGGTTCTCCTAGAGAAGAGACTGTTTGGGATGTCAGCTTCTCAGAGATCTTGGCTTGACTGCTCTGTGAGGGCAGAGCAGGGCTTGTTTATGGCTCTGTTCCTGTAGTGTGAGCACAGGGAAATCTTCAAGGTCAAAACTATTTGCATAATATGAAGATGCTATTTACCATTTCAACTCATTCTCACATTGTACAGAGGCTGAATGATGTGATGATTTCATCACTGATGTTAAAGGGATAAAAATAATAGCCTAAGTAAGAGACTCCAATCTCAGTCTCCTCGCAAAGATCAGCAATAACACAACTATCCACAAATAAAACTGTTCTGAGAGAAACTTCAGCAAGTCCGTATAACAAATAACCTGAGTATAACCGCATGTAAAGAAAAGGAAAACAGTTTCTCCTGCCTACATCATCCCTTCCCCCAGCCAGCATTTCCAGCTGAAGAGTTTAGGAGGAATCTCCAGCTGAAGAGTTCCCTTGCCAGGAACAGTAGAGCGAGGTAAACACTGAGCTTCCCAGCCTTCCAAAAACCCACATGAAAGGCCCATTTTGGCTTTGCCCTGCTCATATTGGCTAAGTAAAGACATATAGAGACAGCTAGGTACAAAAAAGAGAAGCAGGAACTACCAATAACAGCCACACGTAAGAGCTAGAGGTTCCTAGT